ACCCAGGATCGACTTTTTATTAACCATTGGATTATCAATTCGTCGTTTTTCTCCCCAGACTCTGAAGAAGGCGATTCCGCTGAAACGTCAGCTACGATTGAACTGTATGTGCGTTATTGTATGGAAATAAGCGTATGCTGTTTAACAACCTCGCTACTGATGAGAAAGAAAACGACGAAGAAAAGAACGTTGTTAAAATGGCAGGAGTTCATGATGGAACGCATCCCTCAACTCGTCAAGACTATGGTTTATTGAGAGATATAACAAGCTAAAGAATAATAGTGAATTATAGGCTCTACGAAAATTGCAGAAATTGTTGATTGTGGGTAAGAACTGCCACTTGGACGTAAAGTTTTAACTCCATATAGGAATTGTGACTCGTATACCTTTATACACTGTAAATTTTGGATTGCTAAATAAAAGTTCCTAAGCACGACATTTACAATATTAATAAAACGTTGAGGTAATAAAAGATCATAACTCTTTCCAATGATTTGGCTCCTACATCGTCCTTGAGCGGTTGGTCTCTTTAAACTCCTACTTTCACTTTTGACTTCGGTTTTAATATAGCCTCTGAATCAACTAGTAGAAAAACCGAACAAAGGAATTGTTGCCGAAGAGATACCTCCGTCAGGTCAGCATCATGGTGATGATCTGAAGCTCCCGTGCAATATTAAGTTAGGACTCCATGGAAGCCACAAACAGCAATAAGTCAGCATCAGTACCCCGCACATCGAGTGCTCCTGTTTGTGACACCTGGCGATGCGAACACTGGTTAGAAGCAAGTAAAACTCGTGTTGAGCAGGACGTGATTGGAACCAGACCTGACGAAGAAACGCACTACAAGCCATGGAGATTGTTTCTTACTCTGCACTTATCACACCAGCACACTAAACCAGTACCAGGATCCACCACTGTGCTGGTGTCAAACTAGCCGCATGTTGGCAAATCTCCCCCAGATCCACAAGAGCTACGACTGTCTGTGGTGGTGGAGAGTGTTCTGGGGCCCACACAACTAGTGAGGACAAGCCGTCCAAGTATCCAAGTGGGTTCGATAGACCTAAGGACTCTTGCTTGTGAAAAAGGGTATTAAGACATTCCAAGGCGGATACACAAAGTTTACGTCCAAGAGACCACTGCTATCAAAAAAAAGTGTCGCTGTTCGAGCCAGCACAGAATGCACAGAATGAACGACATGAATGAGAATCATGACGCATGGTTCGACTATGCTAGAGCATTCCTGGGAGGTAAGACAGGATCATAAGCTTTACAATCGTCTAGTCATTACTTAAATTGAAACCAAACGATGAAAAACGACGTACCTGCGAAGAATACAGCTTCGCCATAGCACCTTCTTTGACGAAATGAATATCACTGTCCTTAAAATATATAGTGAATCATAGATTTCACACAAAAAGTGGCCAATTAAGTCCAGCGCTGTAAAAAAATTGTAGACCTTCATCCTTGCGGCATTGTAAACTAATAAGCGAGCTGCTTCAATTTCTACAGCAACTTGTGAGACTTGATGTTGGATTCCCTGAAACAACCAGAGGAAGGTTGTAGTCTAGAAATCTAAGATGATTGAATAAATTGACCATAAATACAGATACTGATTGTTTCGATGTTGCATATCGATACAGCGAGACATTAGTTGCATGCAGAACGTCCTTTTGGCAATTTTGGAAATACCGTATTTCAAAAATATAATAAACTTTAAAAAGAAACCCATTATACTCGAACCTTCGCACAATATAAGGTAATATGTCCACATTGGTGTGCACTTAAAGAGAATACCAAATATGGAAGCGAAAACTCGAGCACGTAGAGTACAGTAAAAAATGCACAGCAACAGACAAGGTAGTGGGTGCGATATCATGCCACAGACAAACCAAACCTTCCACTCCTTCAAGGATAGTAAATTGGAACTAGGTTGAACTGGTAGGATAAAATGGTGACCTGATGAATGAATAGGAACATGGAAGTTATAGGACAGATATGCAGCTATATAATGTTTAATGAGTCAAATGGACGGCGCTCCCCATACAAATGATCAACACGAAAGCCTTATGAGGGTGAGGAAAAGACATAAACACCACTACCACATCATCATATGAAAGACGTCTTAGAAATAAACCTTGCCTGAAAGTCTATAATTCTTGACCCGAACTGTTTTCTTTCTTGAAGATACAATACAGCGTTGTCGAAGCACCCCTGCGCTAAACCCACCATTTGGGCACCAATGCCAATTCGACCACCATTCAAACACTCGATGGCATATTTGTATCCTGGTGCGAAATCACGTTACATCAGAAGATTTCTCAAGAATTTGTTATGACATTGTTTGCAGTAATTCCATGAATAAATCACTATCAACGCAAGAACAGTAAACCTTCGTCGGGTGTATCAGTCACTGACGTCATGTGAACATCTTTGCAATGACTACTTGATATCAGTAGAATGTTTAAAAGGGGTTTAAAATCTTAGAAAAATTTAAAAAGAAAATATAACCACAATACTGCTCAGGTACTTGCAAAACTCCAGACCGCAAGTGTTTGAGAGAGAGGTGAAACGAAGGGCCCACATGGTGCGGTAGTGAACGCGTTACTCCCCGGAAAGGACAATAGCGTGTTCGTTCTCCACCGCACATACCTGCGGTCCGGAGTTTTGCAAATATCTCAGCAATATTGTGGCTGTATTTCGATTAATACCCTGCCATAAAAGTTTTAGAAGGCAGAAAATAAAAAGTAAACATTGTGAAAAGAAATATAATTCGAGAAAAAACTGCACCTTTTCCATATTCACCAAGAATAGCTGATTTTGGTACTCGAACATTTTCGAAATTCACTGGGCAAGTAGATGATGCACGAATTCCTAACTTGTCCTCCTTTTTCTCTACCGATACCCCCTTCTCATTTCTATCAATCAGAAAACAAGTGATCCCTTTATAACCTTTAGACGAGTCAGCATTGGCAAAGACCTAAATAAGAGCAATATAGTACATCACAATTTAGAATTACTAACACGATAGCATCTATATTTCCAAATTGATACTATTAGTAAAGAATGGCTAACAAGAAGAAAAATCTTACTAATTTTAGAATCATAGACTCACAAGAAAGAATGAAGCATGACCAGCATTAGTAATCCACAATTTTGTCCCTGTAATGAGAAAATCGTCGCCATCCTCTTTTGCAACGGTTTTCATAGCAAATGCATCAGAGCCAGATTCAGCTTCTGAGAGACAGAAAGCGCCAACCTAAAGAAATTAACTTACTTACATGATACTTGAACGGTTCGTCCTTACTAGTTGTGCGGACCCCAGTATAATCACCATTTTTCGGAGATTTGCTAGTTAAACCAATGTGGTTCCTTGGAATCCCGAGGTCAGCCTGGCCAAAACCTGCCCCAGGTCTTCACCACCACAGGCAGCCGCCGCGCTTGTGGATCAGAGGAAGATTTGCCACCACGCGACTTTGATAGCAGGACGGTAGTGGATCTTGGTGTTGGTTTACTCTTAGCTAGGCTTCCTGATGAAAACGCCGGACTCTTTCACAACTTGAGAGACACTTCCGGGGGGAGGGGAACGAATCCTCCCACTGTACATCGCAGTCCGACACCCAGGAACATCTCCCAGCCACGATGAGGCGGTAGACCGTTGGAAGGAAAGAAATTAACACAGAAATGATATGAACATCAGGAGAAACTAACATTTGACATCACACTTGCATTGCGTACAATACACTTGGAGCCAAAATAATGGCTGGTTTCAACTTTAAACGAATATAAACTACCTCATATTGAACTTTACTAACTGAAATAAGAACTGAGAGAGAACAACGAATCGAAGGGGGTGGTGCCAACGCTTTAGTCCCCGGAAAGGGTAACAGCGTGTTCGGACCCCACTGCAGACAACAGCGGTTCAAAGTTTCGGAAATATCTCAGCATCATTATGGTTATAATTCAATGTTTTTCATCAATAAGCAGACACGAGGTTGTTAATATAGAATTTATTAGAACACAATTGCTGACGTTTCGGCGGTTTCGCCTTCTTCAGAGCCTGGAAAGGTCAAATTGAGATGCGATCTACTCAGCCAAACACTTTCATAACCCTAGCAGATAAAACTTGATAAATCGATTTGTATTCGCATAAGACTACACCAACTAACTTAAATACTTACAACAAATAAACGGTAGGTGTTTGAATGAAGCTGTTTCTTATGCGAATACAAATCGATTTATCAAGTTTTATCTGCTAGGGTTATGAAAGTGTTTGGCTGAGTAGATCGCATCTCAATTTGACCTTTCCAGGCTCTGAAGAAGGCGAAACCGCCGAAACGTCAGCAATTGTGTTCTAATAAATTCTATATTAACAACCTCGTGTCTGCTTATTGATGAAAAACATTGAATTATCAATTAATGCCGAGGTTAACAGAAAGTCGGTCATGGGAATTATGGTTATATTTCAGATAATACTCTGCCATTAAAAAAGAATTGGCACTGGATAAACGACATTGTGATTTATACCGCAGCTTCAAATTGACTGGATTTAATGCCGATTTGTGCACCTCAGATCAACCATGTTGATGGGTGATTGTTGACAGCGCCTACAGATCAATAACATGACTGAGATAAAGACGAAACGAAGGACTGGCATTGTGTTGTCGTAAACGCGTTAGGCCCCCCGAAGGGGTAATAGCGTGTTCAGTCCCCGTTGCAGACACCAGCGGTCCAGAGGTTTGCAGATATCTCAGCATCATTATGGTTCTACATATCTTTGTTTTAACTTTCATTTACTGTCTATCCTTCCATCGTGGCTGAGTATAAAGTGAAATATAATCACATATCTAAAAATATAAATAAAAACTGGTTTAGACAAAGGCAAAGCAGACTTCAGTGATGCAGTTGGTAAAACATGAGTCTTTACGAAGGGTAATCGCGGGTTCGAATCGAGCCTGTGGTCTAGGTTTTGCAAATACCTCATATACTTTTACGTATGCGAAACATTCTTCTGTTTAAGTTCTTATGCTCCTGAAGTATATCTGACTCTTACGGGAGGTGAAAGAGAATTCATTCACCATCCACTTATAGCTTTGTCAGCATCCAATAAAGTTATGCAGTCACAATGTTTTAACTTTCATCTGCCGCCGTTTTCTTTCTGACAAGGTATAATGTGAAATATAACCACAAGAATGCTCAAATATGAGCAAAACTCGAAGCCTTACTCGAGCTTTAAATCAAAGCCTTGCCGAGAGATCATGCTCTATTCACTGCACTAACCAAGGCCCCAGCCTTGTCTTTTTCTAGTACTGTCATATCAGCGAATGAGAAATTCGAAATCTAGTTCAGTCAACTCCTTCCGGAGAGTGATAGTGAAGAAGGTGTTAATGATGCAGAAGACAATAGCGAATTCCTTACACTATCTGCAAATCAAAACTGAAGAAGGCTAGGAGAACAATTAGCAAAGAAGAAGATTATAGTTGTAATAATGATTAGATTGCAGGTGTGTGAGTTAGCCTAGCGGTGCTTTGCCATACCCCTACCCTTTGGTAAAAGCCACGTGTCACCTGTAATCTGCTGTCCCGCTGATCGCCGAGTGACTCGAGCGGGCGCCAGTAAATCTTTCATTTTTCCCTGTCGCGTGTAAGAGTAGCCCAGTGGGTTCTGCACGCTCGAGGGACTCGTCGAGCATCATATCTTTCTTCAAAGCTCTTTGTGAAGAACTCTGACCATCGGGTCGGTGGTCTTCCTGCAGTACGTTTGAAATCCCGAGGGACCCAGTCCTCAACGGCTCCTGTCCATCAGTTGTCATTCATACGCATTACGTGTCCGGCCCACCTTATCTCCGACTGTTTGGAACACAGCAGAACATCTTTGATCTTTGATAGTTGGTGCAGGTCGGAGCTTCGGATCTCTTCCCTTATTTGTGCAAAACGGGACACTCCTAGCATCGTCCTTATGACTGCGCGTTTGATAACGCTGTGATCTTTCATCCTGTTTACGCAGCAACCAGGTTTCTGACGCATACGTTAACGAAGGAAGTACTGCTGAGTTGAAAAGGTGGGCACAGAGTCGAGTGTTCCTTGCTCTCTTTACTACATACTCGATGCTCTTGAAAGCTTCCTAAGTCGCTCGTTTCCTTCTGCTCAGCTCTGGAGCTAGGTCGTTCGTCATGTTGATTTCCCGATCTAGATAGATATAACTAGATATATGATAACTAGATAGAGGTATGGCCTTGCCTAACTCCTCTTTTGACGTCAATGTTAATATCGCTGTAAAATGGTGATATCTTGGTTGAGAAATTTTGTACAGCTCACGAAAAATCTTTATGTACTGAGCACAGACTCCTTGACTACCAAAGGCTTTCATAACTGCTTCTATCTCGATTGAATCAAAGACCTTATTTAAATCGATGAAAGTGAGACAGAGCGGTCTTTTGTACTCCCGCGATACTTCATTAAGCCTTGTTATTGTGTGGTTGAGGCCCATCGTATTAAATCCTTTTTGAAACCCTGCTGGCTCACTTGGCTCTCCTTGGTCCGGTGTTCTGTCACTTCCACTGAGTAGAAAGCTTGCATTCAGAGAGATAACGTCTGAAGAACCGAACCAGTGCGCTTACGAGGACTGGCCGAAGGTTCTTCAAGTGTTCTGTTCTTATCCTGTCCGGACCTGGTGCTGTTCGATTTTTCGCAGACCAAATGGCATGCTCGATTTCGGAAGGGAGAACCGGTGGCTACGACATATCCATCCTCCTTTATTTCATATGATGGAAGGGGCACGTGGCTATCGAAGAGATTTGAGCAATATTCGTAAACGATTTTCTCCACTGCCTTTCTGGACGCTGCAACTGTTCCGAGTGCACTCACCTTGGTCTTGCAATTGGCGAAGTTTCGGTGGGCTTTGCCAAAGGTTTACCCAGTGTCTGCAGCTTCGACCATTACTGCTACTCTTCTCTCTTTATGATCTTCTTTTATGGCCTGTCTGCATTGTTTTTCAAGTTCGGACGTTAGTTCGCGGTTGCCTGCAGCTCCTGCGATTCCACGCTGGCGTATCAGCTTGAGTGTTTCTGGAGATAAACGTCTCTTGGTGACTTTCGAACTCTCAGCTTTCACAGCGCTAACGTGAAGATGTTGAATGAGTCGATCGTATTCTTCGTCGATGTTATCGACAACGGCATCTTCCCAGCAGCCGACTAAAGAACTGAATGAGTCCCAGTCTGCGGTGATTCTGGGACTTCGGTTTTAGAATTGAGCGGCTTTTTCTCCCTTCCGCGAGAAGTAGAATCTTGCACGAAGGAGATGGTGCTCTGATCCAATGTAGAATTTTGGGACAACACCGACATCGGTTAGGTAAAACCTTCTATTTACTATGATGTGGTCTATTTCGTTGTGGTGCTCTTCATTGGAAGACTCCCATGTCCAGCGCTGAGGGTGGGGATTCTGGAATTGCGAGTTACCATGGTCTTGGTCGTCATGATAAGCTCAGACGGCCGTCCACCCTGTTCGTTCCATTTCTAAGCCGTGGGTCCCAATGTGACGTTCTTCTTGGTCCAATCTTGGCGTTGAAATCTCCAATGATGACCTTCAAGAACGTATGGTCTTCTCTGTAGAACTTCTCCAAGTCCATATAGAACGCTTCGACTTCTTCGTCGTCGTAGTTTTAAGTCGGCGCGTAAACGACGAAGATTGGCAAAGCCGGTATTGATCCACGTCTTTTTAACCGTAAACGTCCGGTACGGGTTGTTAGTTGTTCGAATGAATCAATGTTCATGGACTAACTCGTGTTGACGAGAACTCCGACGTGTCCGACTCCTGTACTATCGTATGTTCCAAGGAACTGTTCTTCTCCGGTGTCATAGACGGCCTTTAATGTGTGGCGTCTTCTCGTCTCAGCCAGGCCGATAACGACTTGCCTTATCCTTCTTGCTTGCATCAGCCAGTTTTCCACCGAGGACTCGGGCGCAAGTTTACGTGCATTGTAGGTACAGATCGTCACCATAGTTCTTTGAAATCCAGGCAGCTTCCATTGGCCCTGAGATTTTAGCAGCTTCTCCGTACTCGTCTTACCCAACGCTGCAAAATTGGAGACTCTTTCGAGGTCAGCGGAATGAGGCCCGCTTTTTTTTTACTGTGTCTAGAATTTTTGATACCCACGTATAGGCTGCTGGGCTCTAAACGTAGGGCTGGGTATACTCACGGGTAGCTTGCCAGGCTCTACCAAAGTGGACATGAAGCGTATTTGTTGGAGGCGACTCCTAAACACCTCCCATATACTTCTCTGTCACTTCATTGCAGGTTTTCGGCCAAATTGATTCGTAGAATACAATCTGAATAAACTAGAACGCACCTACACACGCGTGTATGAAGACGCCTCGTAAATACAGAAAGTATGTGCCAAATCGGTGCAGCAGAAACATAGAGTCCATCTCCTGGATCCACCTGCATCTCAGAGAAGCAGAAGTCGCTTTTGGTCCGTGATTACCCCCCTATCCGCTGAAGACGCGCTACGTAGCCTCACGACTAACCGGCTATCGGGATCCCTCATATGAGGTAGATCCGTGGGGTAAAAGCTAGTCAAGTATTAATGCAAGTATTCTGTTTATATGCGTAGACTTTGTCGATTTCTATGAATTATGGTTTATGTGCGCGATTTGGTCACAAAAAGGAAGAACAATCATGAACAACGGAGGAATCTTTTGTTAGAAACGACAGCCGTACTTCAGGAAAAATAGTAAGTAGTGCGCATTTATCACTCGTTCACTATTTTTGCATAGCTATATTTTACCCAGTCTACGCGTAGACATCTGCTCTTGCACCATACCCAAAGGTTAACACCTAGGAAATGTGTTGGGTTCGCTGTTGTATGAAACTGATAAAATATGATAGTTCCAGATTCTCTACAAAATATGAAGGTAGGTAGGTTCGTACTAGAGGTAGTAATGTGAGTAGCGTTTCTTAGATCCTCTTGATGTTGGTCAGTGCAGTTATGCGAAATGTAGTTTGCTTACTTGATACTTGAGACTTGAATGGCCCGTCCTCACTGGTTGTGCGGGTCCCAGCATAATGTCCACTTTTTCGGATATTTGCTGGTCAAGTCAACGTAGTTCTTTGGAATCCCGAGGTCAGCCTGGCCAAAGTCTGGCTAAGGTGTTCACCAACACACAGTCGCAGGACTTGTGGATCAGGAGATTTGCCACCATGCGACTAATCTGATACCAGGACAGTGGCGAATCCTGGTATTGCTTTACTCTTTGCTAAGCTTCCTGATGGAAACGCCGGACTCCTTCTCAGCTTGGGAGACCCTGGCAGCGGGATGAGTCCACTGCTGTACATCGCAGTCCGACACCCAGGAACATTTTCCAGCCACGATGAGGTGGTAAATCGCTGGGAGGGAAATGTAGTTTAAATGCAAGAAAAAGAGCCGTGAAAGAAATTTAAACCCTAATTTGGAATTGTATATTGTATATGATTGTAGGTAACAATTACGAATTAAAGGTAAAAAGATATTGTCGATGATCATTATAAATTCGATTCCAAAGGTGTATGTTGTATATTATTGTGGGTCAGCACGCACTAATCTGCTGTAGCATCTTTAGGGCTATAAACCTTGATATGGAAAACATTTTTCTGTTAAGAATGGTGAAGCAGTCAACCAACCCATTCTGTACAGCTCTTTGGTAAATACTTTTTCTTCTGATCTTCTGTTCCTAACTGCAAAATCAACGGTATTACCAAGGTATTCTGAACGTCGACGAAGACTGATACAGATGGATCGACCTGAACCTTTTCATAAAGGAAAAAGAATAAGGTTGAGGAATAGAAACAAAAATATTAGCTTGCAAAGAAAATGCAACGGAATTTCCAATTCACTTAAATTATTCACAACAAGAAAAAGCAATCTCATTTGAATGAAAAGCAATCTTAATAAGACCCGGTCCAGAGAATTCCGTAAGAGTGATAGAAATACCATCGGATACTTTAAAACGCCAGCTGGTTCGCAACCGCTTATATGACCGTCTATGTATAACGAAAAACTACATAATTTGCCATAACGGTAGAGACGGTGATTGCATGAGTTCGGGTACAGTCTATCTGATCTCTTGTAAAACGTGCGAGGACGAATACGTTGGCGAAACGGGTAGGCCGTTCTGCGTCCGCATGAAAGAACACCTAGTCGGCAAACGTAAACCAAATATTCCACTAGGCACGCGTAAGAAGCAGAGACATAATGGAGAATATTTTGAAATGGGGGGTTACGATCCTCGCTCAAGAATCGAAAACACAAGCGCGCAAAACTCTTGAAGCGTTTTGGATTAGTTCCAAAAATTCAAAAATGAACCGCAAGGAGGAGTGTCTTGTCATCATGCGTGACCTGGCGCCATACCTTAGGCTGATCCAATGATCTAACACAGACACAGTTGTCGCCCATGTATTACTCTGTGCGGCTGCTATCCATCAACTAACTTAAATACTTACAACAAATAAACGGTAGGTGTTGGAATGAAGCTGTTTCTTATGCGAATGCAAGTCGATTTGTCAAGTTTTATCTGCTAGAGTTATGAAAGTGTTTGGCTGAGTAGATCGCATCTCAATTTAACCTTTCCAGGCTCTTAAGAAGGCGAAACCGCCGAAACGTCAGCTATTGTATCCCAATAAATTCTGTAACACCAACCTCGTGTCTGCTTATTGAAGAAAAACATCAAATCTCCATTGATTTAATGACCAATACTCAAGTAATGATCACGACGGTCCGAATTAATTTTTTGCAAAATAAGTCTATCCAGAAAAATCTTGACTCAAAATTGGTTTTAGAACACCAAATGTCGTAACTTTACTTAAGTTGTTCCCATGTTATCAACATCAGATGTAAAAGACATTAAGATCTCTGATTTCATGGAATAGATGTTTGTTAAATGTTACTGTAAATTAGCAATGAGTATCAAACCTTCGCAAGTTCCTCTATGATAAGTATAGAGTCAAAGAATGATGACCCTGTACCGCCATAAGCTTCGGGGACTTCTACACCCATGAACTGAAAACACACAAGATCTCCTAAATCTTTCTAAAAATTTAGCATGTCCAATGTAAACAAATACATCTCACCTCATAGCGAGCTATATAATAGAAAACTAATAGGGTTCACATATCTTTTGACTCGACAGCAACCGGGCTCACCGAGCCTAGCATACTTCCTGTGCTGCTAAATTGGTACCAGACTTGTCTGAAATCAACCCACTCCTTCCAACAGACGTGGAATCGCCCTTCCATGGGTATACCAATATACCAGGAGAAATCAACTGGCCCAGTATACAACGACGTTCATAAAGAATGACGAAAATCCTCAGGTGGCAGTCGAATCCCCACGAAGAAAGTTTGAAAACCTCCGGCGACAGTGGAGGCGATGGAACGAAACGAATGCAAGAAGTGGTAGGATCCACATAACAGATGTGAAGATGAGTAATGTAAAACAAAAAAGAACACATTTTTGCGAACAAGTCACAAGTTTTTTAAACACCAACTTGATGGAATTTCAATTTCGTTAAATTCAAAACTTGTTTTTCTCTTCGCTTGTTTCATCGATACTCACACTTTAACAGCAAAGCAACTGAACAGCTGATATACCGTCCACCACGGCATGACAACACTCACAGAGAGGTCGTTAGTACTACGCTTTCGGCAAGTTCGCTTATGATAGAATTGGAAAGTCGAAATTTTTTTTTTGAGAATTTGAACCTAAGGCAAATTATTAGGAAAAACGACAGAAAATCATAGAAAATCGGGAGCGATCGCACAAGGTCCCTTATAAGTCTATCTAATCTTCAGGTGGTAAACAACCAGCATCGTCACGAGCTACTAGCGATGCGTGGATCGAGCAGATCACAACGCTTCAGGATCTACTTCCATGAAAAGACAATCTATTTCTTGTCATATTGAAAGAAATATTGAGAGAAAAACTAACCAAAAGAACTTACGCCATTTTCAAATACTCCAGTTATTACTGACTGGTGCATCTGTGACTTCTCATCCATTTCTCGCACTAATGGTTTCACTACATTGTTAGAAAAGCGGTTCACTAAAATTGGAAAGTAAGATATACACTGAAGAAGGCAAAGCTTACCACGAACTATACGGTATGCACATAGAGTCAAAGTATATCTTTCAGACTAGAAAAGCTCTCGGCGTTGATCAATCCCTGAAGGATGCGCCATGCATTCGACTTCTTAAGCATCGCTGTAGGTGGCTTAATGCATATCTAGCCTTTACAATGACTCGCGGTGGCCTGCAATGCATCGAACCAGTGATGCTATCCTCCTAGACAAGTCTGGTACCAATTTGTGGACCCCGGAGGGATGGAGGGCTTGGTGGGCCTTGGGCCTAAGGATCGGTCCCGTGCTTATTGTAGGGTTGTAGGGCGCCTCCCAACATTGCGCCACACGCGCCCTTTTTTAGATTATGTGAACTAAACGAGATTGTTCGCAAGCAACTGACGGTATGTACACACCACTTTGCTCCTTAGGAACAGTAAAGAGAAGCGATGTCATGCGAAAATGTGTCATGTTTTAAAACTTTTCAAACGAGCGGCATACTGGGTTGCTCGGTGACTACAGGAGAGAGATGTCGAGATAAGTATGAAATGGTTGTGGTAAATGTGTCTTATCGTCGAGTGCCAAAAGTTTCCACGATAGTGTTCCTTTAAAAAAAAAAAAGAAAGGTAAGGCTTTACATAAGTATGAAACACCCACCACTTAACAAATGCTATTCATGACATTAGAGAAAAACTGCTCCTTGTGCGAAAGAGACGAGGTCCTATCCCATAAAAAACCTTGGGGCGACCATGACACCGTGTAAACAAAAGCTTCAACTTTTGTGATATAGTTCAAATTTCTATCATACTATCTCCTGCAGAACTCCCACTCCCAACGTTGAGAAGAGAAATTCTGTAACTGTGAGTTATCAAGGATGGTCCTGGTCATCATTGTAAACTTACAGTCGCTCGTGCTATTCTTTCTACTCCAGTGAGTCGTAATGTGAAGCTATTCAGATGTTCGGTTGCGTGTGTGTTGAAATAGCCAGTGATGACGTTATACCTATTTGGATACTTGGATAGTCCGTCCTCACTGGTTGTACGGACCCCAGCGTAATTTCCATTTTTTCGGAGCCTTGCTAGCTTAGCTATTGTGGTATCCTGGAGTCCCAAGGACAGTCAAGCGAAAGTCACTAAGGTAGAAAAGAACATTCAAGTCAGAAATTTTCCCCATAATCTCGTTGTTGGCAAAATGGTTGTGCACCGAATCCTACACTATTACATGGCCATATTAAAATTATGTAACACTTTTCCACAACTAAAAGCCAAGTTAAAAAGTTTGAGTAAGTTATAAAAACTAGCATAAGACCAAACCGTACCGGCACTTTTCAAATGTTGCTCATGTTCACTCAATTGAGTAACTGGAGGTGGTGGACGACCTTCGACATCACAGCGATGCTTGCCTGAGATGGCAGTCACCAAGCCACGAAGACTGCTTGTACGAGCCACTACACGAGAAGAAAGCATTCTGAAGGAAAAAAATTCAAGACTGTAGAGACCATATAGTCAAATTACGAAGTAAAAATGGCGTAGATTCGACTTTACACAGAAAGATATCAATGCCCACAAATTGAGATCAGCATCCTGCTCTGTTACTGCTCTATGAGGGATCAGAACTGTAACAATACATCATCTGCAAGTGTCCTGCATCGAGATAACAATGGAACAAATCACTCGTAGGCAACGCAGTGCTTCAGGTCTTTTAATGTTGCCGATACGACTTCTTCTATGGTCAGTGATCGACTACAGAAGAAATAATTTCGGATGCTATGTACGATTTCCAATGCTACCCTTTTACAAGCAATCTTAAGATCGAAAGCAAACCGACACTGAGTGATGGATGAATGTTGCTTACTAGAATAATTGGATCATTTCTTTCGGAATCTTACTGGTTTAACCATTGTGGTTCCCTGGAATCCCGAGGTCAGCCTGGTCAAATTCTGCTCCAGGTCGTGATCATCACGGGCAGTCGCAGCACTTGTGGATCAGAGGGAAATTTGCCACCATTCAACAAGATTGACACCAGGATGGTGGTGGATCTTGGTATTGGTTTACTCCTAGCTGGGCTTCCTTATAGAAACGTCGGACCCCTTTTCAGCTTGGGAGACGCTGTTAGGGAGATGTATCCCCTTCCTGTACGTCGTAGCTCGACAAAGGAACACGTCTCAGCCACGATGAGTAGTAAACCGTTAGGAGGATGCAAAGGTACAACCGTCTCAACAGGTGAATAGACGTGACAATGAAGCCAATCAGGAGATCACAGCATCGGAACAGAACTGATGTACTGTCTTTACACCAGTACTTCTTACTCTGTTATCAGCGAGTAGGTGATTATCACTTGAAACCAACTGATATTCGTGTCGATCGATGATCTGGTTTCGACTGCAAACAATTCTTCGTTTTGCGACAAACTTCGAACATATCTAAGTTGCGCAGAATGTCCAATTTTTCCAACGAGGTTCACGAAGAGTACAACGGCATTCTAAGACAAACTCCCAGGAGAAGCAGAAAATTGATCCACTCAATTCCTATTTCCAACAACAGTTGAACAAAATGGAAGCATTAACTTGTCACTAGTGATTGTACAGAGAATCAATCAATAATCAATACAGCAAGTGCCACGTAAAGTCTAACAACAAAAGAAAAAACCTGAAAATTACAAGGCATCAAAGTGGAGCCAGCAGAACTCAGATGTACGGAGAGCCATTGATCGAACAGTTATCGATTGAAAAGGGGACGTCCGCAACTGATAGGCCGACGCCGATGTCAGGTAAACATCATAGCATGTCCACAGTGCTTCACAAATGAATCGTTTATCAAACTGTCCTCTAGGCCACTTGGTTTTCCTGTCGAAAGGCAGTACACAAGCACAACCAAGGTGGTGGCTGGGCAGAACTGGCGGTACTTTCCAAGGTGCAATACTTGCGAGTAGCTTCAATGTAAAGTGCTCTCTTTCGATTCCGTCTTAGACGTCGTCCTTCCCAGTTCGCTATTTCCCTGAGCGCACTGTCTCATTTATCGTTCTTCATTCGCGCCGTGCGCATTCCATGAAGTTCGAGTACTTTGCTATTTCACAAGTACTTCTGCTTCGATGTCTGTATGTCTGTTCTGCACTCTTTGATTACTAACATGAATAGTAGGCTTACTTTCAGCGGACCATGTTTTTGAGGTGACACTTAACTGTCTTCTGATTGGTAGCCAAACTGCATTGTCGGTTTCCTTCTTATTTCGATGCTCTTTGGAAACCTGACGATGACAGCGAAAATCAGGAGATATAAAAAAGTGTCCTGAAAAAGTGGCTCTCGTGCGAGTTGTGTGTCATTTCGTGTCCTGGATTTCTTCAAGTGCTTTTCTCGTTCATCCACCGTATTTCTACCAATCCTCTCTGGAGGATTTCCATCAACATATAGATTTGTTGACTATTCAAGATTTTTCTTCATATACTTACTAGTCTATGCTGACATGACTGATACTGAAGCCGGACTTACCTGACTGGACATCGGACATGGGTTCGTCCTTGTCTTGATTTTCTTCTTTTATCATTTCTTTTCAAAATACTTTTCACTTTCAAATCGGTCTTCATTGTTGATTTTCTTCTAAAATCTCGATTTCAGTTCAAACTCGATCATCGAGAGATTTGCATACATCACAACTAATCAGTGAAACAGTCGAAGAAGCCGCAGCCGACAGTTCCATCGATCCTCACGAAGATCAGGCGAACGCCAGTACGGATAGAGGTTCTGAAGAAGAACGGGAAGATTCTGGACTTGAGAAGCATCTAGGTGTCCAATTCTTCCTTCCTAAGCACGAAAAGTACCATTGTGATGTTTTACAATGGATTAATGCCTGGAACAAGTGCAATGTTTTCACAAAATCGTGGGGTTCAGAAATGTAACTAGAGAAGGACGTCGTTCAATGCTTATTCAATCTGTCACAATTCTCTCCAGCTCATAGTATATTTGTACTGTCTCGTAATTTATACTGTATCTGTCGGGTTACAGGACCTTGTGCGTACTGAATCGTGGAAATGAGTGGATCCATTCAGTACTGCTCCACTTGTTCTGTTACACGTCATCGTAACGTGTCCCCACGCAGTTATCACATCCTGACCGCGTAGAGGGAATTCGGCGCCCACAGGCCGTTCGTCTGGCTTAACGCTATTTTTTCTTATGAATTTTAGATACTATTCACCTTTTGCCATTTAATATCCCCTTTAGCTTTCCCATACTACTTCCCACATGTTCATCTTTCTTTTCATGGCTTAGCTCCCACTTACAATCCTAAGATTTCTTTATAGTGTTGTGGAAGATGTGGGTATCCTCTGTAGCTTCCCCACACTGCTTCCCACATGTTCGTTTATCTTACCATAGATTGGCTCACATTTATAATACCAGGATTTCTTTATAGTGTTGTGGGATGATGTGGGATGCGCTGTATTGTCTTTCTTTTTCCTCTGGATTACGTTAAAGTTCCTTATGACCTAGTAATTTGTATCTTCAGTTCCATCACTGGATGTGAAGACTGTAGATTTACTTCTAAACGTATTCGCTCCAAAGACAATGGGTAAATGCCTTATTTTCGTATTGGGATTCATGCTTGCCAACTACTTGTGGGGTTTTCTTGTGTAAGTTTTTGGAACTACAATTAAGAACACAATTTCCCTATCTCAAGTGGAAATCTTATACTTTAGAGAAGTGTATTCTCGTCCAACCATATTGAAACCAAGAGGACCTATACCGTTTTTCTCGAATTCGTCTAGTAGCTACGTAACCGATTACTACACCGGGAATTTTCTGCCAGAAAAGTTAGTTATTTTCTTAGTAATTACTTTTGTAGCACTCAATACGATGGGGACACGTAGCGCATTAGTCGGACGCGCCCTGCAACACACACATGGAATCAGTCCCTGTGCCCGTCGTCCACTAACTTTCCATCCCACCATGGTCGGCAAATTGGTACCAGACTTGTCTTGGAGGATAGCAGCACTGACTCATCACATTGTTAGGCCACCACGAGTCATTGTAAAGGCCAGATATGCATTCGATCACCACAAGCGGTGCTTGTTGAGGTAGAATGCGTAGCGCACCCCTTAGGGATTGATCAACGACGAGAGCTTTATCCTTTATTACCACTCCTTTATCACCAATATGAATGATTTAAATCGTCTTCAGGATGTTACGTCATTATGATCTTCTTGTTGTAATGTATTATGCACCATGGAGTTTTCATTCTCGAAATCTGAAGCACTCATTCGAGGTGGTCGCACTTATCTTGCGGAATCATAAAAACGTAAGTTTTTCCTTCTTTTTAAAATAACATCTTTGCTTACATGTGTTCATCCAACTGCTATTACCTCTTATCGCCTTTTTAATGAAAATATCAGATTCGGTTTGTGGCAGTAAATTGTTGGACAACTACAGGAGAGTGCAGAAGGGCGTATAAGATCTATCAATATCCTCTAATAGTTGCTTATTCCTCCACTGTTCATTCTGTCTATGAAGGCGAACATTCAAAAGACCATCTGTACAGGTCAGTTTAGAATCGAATGCTTCATTGTAATTATCCGAAGTCGCTTGTGTAACACCATGCTTTTTCTCTTCTTCATACTTTCATTGTATTTTTCATTATATTGTCAAACTTCTCCCTTTTTCTCGTTTTTTTTTGTTTTTTAAGCCTTCATCTAAGAGCGGCTACGAAGCGTTAAATATTGTGACTATCTTTTACCTTGCTTGAGAATTGCAGTGATTTGCGAATATCTTATTTACCCGTAGATACTTGGATGGGCCGTCCTCGCTGGTTCTGGAGGCCTCAGCACAATCTCTATTTTTTCGGAGTTTGCTGGTTTAGCTATCGTGGTTCCCTGGAGTCCCGAGATCACCCTAGCTAAAGCATGCCCAGGTCGTCATCACCTCAAACAGTCGCCATCCTTGTGAATCAGAGGTAGATTCGCCACCTTGCGACTAGTTCGTTAGCAGGTCGATGATGGATCCCGGTATTGGTTTACTCTTAGGTGGGCTTCCCAATGGAAACGCTGGTCTCTTTTCGAGCTTGGGGAACACTACCAGGGAATGAATTGCCTCGCTGTACATCGCAGCCCGACATCTAGGAACTTCTCCCAACCACTATGAGGCGGTAAGCCGTTGGGACGATTTGCAGATACCACCTTGACAATATGCTAACCTCCCCAAGAGGTGATTCATTTCAAATTCCTGAGCTGAAATCAACTCACGTTTTCGGCTTTGGGACCTTGACCCTCGTTTATGACCAACGTTTTATATTTTTTTATTCAAATTGTGTACGAATTTAAAGCACGGATTTATCCTTACGTTTTCACTTTGTTGTTTCAGTTTCATATGATACCTGCTCCACTTTGAATCCGACGTGTTACATGGTCATCGGTCCATCGATCAACTAATTGAATGAACCACTTTGGTCCCGGCGTTTCCTAACATCCATGGGAAATCCGAATCACAGTGTAGTAAATCTGCTTTGGATCTACAATGACGGGTTACAACTTTACGTGAAAACTTGAAGGCGTCCATCGTGCACTTCTTGCGATTTCAAGAAAAACTACGTTTGCACAATATTCAAGATATCAGTAAGTAGAGAGCTCTAAACTGCAAACCCACCAATTCCACCTGAATCCGACACTCTGATGGCGGTTGCGAAACAACGGATCGAACTGAGGAAGTACTGAGTGCCCCGTTAGATGCGAAGATAGGCCATCTAGGTGAAATGTCTATGTCGTTTTACTTAAGGCTAGAAATTAGTATTTCTTTCTTCACTGATTCAAATTTGAATACTTTTATATGACCCTTCTTCATGTCTACTGTTCGAATTCCGGTACTTCTCACATTCAATTCGTTTCCTAGCATCTATCTTCCACGAAGATCTTCCAACTTTTACGTGTGGCTTCGGCTGTTGGCTGACTATTTTCATTTAACCTTGAATGTCGTAGAATGCTGGTGAAGTCGATTCCTCCTGCAGCCCCTAGATACCCAGCTGGATTGCAGGGAGTGATTTTTTCCCGGACAAATCCGGTACCAATCTCCCGACCCCGGAGAGATGGGGGACTTGGCCCAGAGTGGAATCGAACTAGCACCATGCTGACCGACGTCGCTACTACTGTGCTATCCGCCTCTTATTGTTTTAGTTAGGGCTTGAAATTGAAAATTTCTTTACCCGTTGATTCAAATCTGAGTATAAGGCAACGCGGATGCCCCGAAATGTCGTTGTCACATTTGGTTAAGAAACAAATAGTAAGTGTGCCGTGCACGTTTGTGTCAGATCTCTTGTTATGAGATGGGAAATATTAGTAATTGATGAATTTTTGGTTTAAGCAGTGAACATGTGAATACATTCTTTGAAGCGGTCTATCAACTACTGCTAGAAGGCTTGTCATAGAATTAAACACTTGGGTAGCCCGTGTTCAGTGATCGTAATGAATCATTTCTCACTGTCTTAGGCAGCCACCACTTCCCCGTGGAATTCACCGCGATCTATTAAGTGGATCTTTTTCAAATTTCGCGAAACTCCAATGGAAAACTTCAGTATCAGTGCAGTTGCTAAAACTCCATTCAGAAGTTTCGTGGGATTGAGGAGCCCAGAATTTTACTCTTCGTGAAATAAACAGACCTATGTCTTGTTTAGAACAATGTATATATTCTCTCTATATTTGTTCCGAATAGTAAAATTTATTGACGGCGTCTGAAATTTGAGATTAAAAATCTGCACTAATTTTTACTAACCTAGTGGCGTACTGATTTAGTATTGTTACGGCTAAAACGAACAGAACTCTGAAGAAAAACTAATGATATTGAAGTTAGAAAAAAACCAGAATGAAGTTGAAAATAAGCTGCTTACAAATTGCTGTGGATTATAACTCCGTAGTGAGTTCATGTAGCACATTGGTTAGAGGTATATTGCTATACATACGTCCCCTTGGTTCTACCCCAAAATCTAGATTACATTACCCCAGCATCCATAACGGATCGGCAAATCGGTACATGACTTCTTGTAAAGGTGACATCATAACGTAATAAGTCAGTGAAAATTATTGTACAAACAATGTATGCATTCAAGTAGACACACGATGCAAAGTGTCAGTGATTGATTAATGCCGAAAGCTTTGTCCGTTATCCTTTTCTGACTTCACTAGTTGGGCAACGTTTGTTCTCCTTATATTTAAGGAATTTATTCAGTGATAGGGGGCCGATAAAACAGTGGTAGTGATGCCCGTTATCACAAACATGATGCTAATTCGATTCCGCTCCGGGTCATCCAAGCCTCTCATCCCTCTGGAGCCGGGAAATCGGTACCGGACTTGTCTGGGAACAAACTATGCAGTCCAATTGGGAACGCTCCAGCCCTGCTATCCCAGGACTCCAGGAAGAACTGCTCGACTAGCATTCTACGACATTCAAGATGAAATGAAAATCCTCAAGCAGCAATCGAAACGACACATGAAGCTGGAAGTCTTTCGCGGCTAATGGAACTGTGGAAACGAATTGAACGTGAGAAGTGCTGTGATCTGCAAAGTAGACGTGAAGACGACTCGAATAAAATTTTAAAAAATAAAAATATTTCATGGTAGGCATAAACACACTATCTCAACCAGGTTCAGTGCTAGCCTAATGGATTGTATGGTTGTATGACTACCTAATTCTAGAGGTAGAATAAGTTATGGTTTATGAGCTTAGATAGGATCAGTCTTCTTTTCTATGGCATAGCGTTAAGCGCTTACTTCGTCCAAACTTTCATACAGATTTTCTTTCCTGTGTGAGTTGTTAACTTAGCGCTGAAATTCTCAATAGGTTTGTGTAGGACGCTTCTTTGCACGTCCGTTTTTCGCAATAAAGACGGCACACTGGTTCGCCTTGCTATCTAGTCCTCTGTTGGCCGAGTAATTGCGGAAGTCGCAGTCTTGGAAGAATCATAGTCAGAAGACGGAGAACCTCCCTCCGATCCACGAGAGTCAGCGACTTCCTTCAGAGAAAAGCCTCAATCCTCGAACATTTAAATATTAATGAAGAGATAAGGCAGCAAATATCAAGCCACAATCTTACGCACACACAAATCCAGGTTATCTTAATAGATCTCGGTTGCACAACAACGAAACGAGTTCGAGTAGCTTTGGAGTTTTACATATGAGGAAAAGCTTTTAGGTAACCAAAGACGAAGTATATTACATTTTAGCTCACAATTTTTGCCAAATAGTCGTTGGTGATGCTAGAAGTCTTGTGATATGAATGCTGGAAACGAATGAACCTAGGTGAGGGGGAAGAATCGCGTTGACTCAACATATTGGAGATAACCCATGAAAATACGAAAATCCCAACTTTTGCTGATTCGCTCTTGAATCCTCTATCCAATGATGGGAAGGATCCTTTGATGAAATAATTATACCTTATTCTTTATCCTGTTGATTTTTTAAATCACTTGGAGGACATGTGCATTAAGGACATGGAAATTGATGTATGAGAGAACAGCTGCTTTGTCTTTAGTATGGGACATTAAGCAGTCTTCGCGGAGCCTGCTTAGATGTGTTGTTTCGGTCTAGTATTGATGACATTTGGCTTAACTTTGGGTTTGTCCACTAGCCACTAATTGACATGCGTCATGATGTCCTACATGACAGTGCCCGGCTTGCGGCGTTCTGTGACTGCATAATGTTTTGTGTAATTTGTCTCACTTTTCGAGGTGTATTAAGACTACCATATACAGGCATCTGCGGTTCATACCAGGGAGCGTTTCCCACATTCACGAATTATTGGAAAGTTTGTTTTGTCATTTTTTTTTCAAATCAGATGACTACATTTCTTTTTATGTGACCCTTCTTCACATCTACTGTGTGCATTCAGCATTTCCCACATTTGATTTGTTTTCTGATATCCGTTTTCCACGAAGATCTTCCAACTTTTACTTGTGGCTTCGGTTACCGCGTGAGGATTTTCGTTTCATCTTGAATGTGGTCGAACAATTCTTCCTGGAGTCCTAAGGTAGCCGGGCTGAAGCGTTCCCAACTTTATTGCAGGGAGTAGGTTTTTTCCCAGACAAGACCGGTACCAATTTCTTGACCCCGCAGGGATGAGAGGCTTGGTTGGCGCAGAGTGGAATCGAGCTAATACCATGCTAGTGATGATAGACATCACTACCACTGTGCTGTCCGCTCCCTAAATGACAATAGGTGAAGTGCAAATTGCTAAGTAGCGTTCTCTTAATCTTAACCATTTTATTTACTGCCTTTTTCTTTAACGACAGGGTATTTTGCGAAATATAACTATTATAATGCTGAGATATTTGCAAAACTCCGGACCGCAGGTGCTTGCAATGGGGAACGAACGCGCTATCGTCCTTTCCGGGGGAGTAATGTGTTCACCACCGCACCATGCGAGTCCTTCGTTTCGCCTGTCTCTCAGTTAGTTCTATCGATCAATCCTGTTGACGGGTGGTTGCTGATGGCAAAAGATCGATAGAACTAGCTGGGAGACAGGCGAAATGAAAGACCCGCATGAAGTGGTGGTGAACGCGTTACTCCCCGGAAATGACGATAGCGCGTTCGTTCACCACCGCAAGCACTTGCGGTCCGGAGTTTTGCCAATATCTCAGCATTATAATAGTGTTCTCTTAGTTCGATCGAAATAGACATGTTGAATATCATTCTACCATTCCCTTGTGGTAGGTTCGCCACTAACATCGTCACCTAAAATTATATGCCGTGAAGGAAAAATGAAAAAGAAAGAAGTGCTGGGTGTTGATCAATCCTTAAGGGATGTACCATGCATTCGACCTCATCGGGCATCGTTGGAGGTGATTGAATGCATATTTGGTCTTTATAATGACTTGCGGTGGGCTACCAATGTATTGAGCCAGTGTTACTTTCCTCCCAGATAAGTCTGCTATCAATTTATCGACTCCGAAGAGATGGGAGACTTGCTATGTTAGGGCGCGAGGATAAATCTCATGTGTATTGCGGGATGCCTCCTACCATAGTGCCACGCGCGCCCATTAGGAAAAACAAACAAATGTCGAGCTGTCGTTCCTTAAGCAATCAACTTTGTATCGTGTAATTTTAAACTTTAGGTGGATTGTCAATATACGGAACCCATTTCGGTATATTGGCTCTAACAAAGTGCTCAACGGATATAAGAGAGATTGTCACTTATTAGTCGCTGGATATTTCCCGTTCAAGGTTGGCTTACTTTGTATGTGATCCTATTCACTTTTATATTTGCGAATCCATGTTACAGAACGCAAATACTCTATCTGGATATCGAGCTTTTGCCGCGAGTGCCATGATGCTTCATTCTGGCTTATTAGGTGATAGTACTCCACATTTTCGTTCAAATACAACACAGTAATTCATTTTGTCAGAATGCATGTCATAATAACTTTTCAGAGGATGAGTTTACTTGCCTTGGTGTCATCACTAGTGAACTCTTGGCACGAGAGGTTGGGATGCGTTTCGATGGAGATATTGTTACTTACAGTCTCGAAAGTGGTTCGAGTTTGAACTTTCTTTGTATTACATATGTCTAGTGAGTAATCAGTTATGTCTGGTATTTTTGTAACATTGACTTGTTTAACGAATTATGGCGGAATACCGTGCGTTGTTTATTCCACGCCAGCGCTGTGGTTTTATGAGCTTCATATTGCTCAACTTTTACTAACATAGTGTCCACTTCCAGATTCCGAGACTCGGTGGTCATTCGATATTCCTCGTACTGCGGATAACATTGTAGAATGGGTGAAACGCAAACGTAGTGAAGCTATAGTGAAGTGGATACATTCTAGTACGTTAGAATAATTTCTTAGTGTATACGTATTCAAAACCGTGAAGTGAATTTCTGTCACGGTAAATTTATGTGACGTACCGTGGCTAACTGCTCGGCCAATGCTCATTTCAAGGCATTATATAAAAGCTGTGAGGCTTTTGCTGTCCTCCGATTGAACGGAGCTCACCGAGCACCTTTGATACACAGTGGAAACTGTTAGTGCGCGAACGAGTTACTCGGTGATTTACTGAACCACAGGGAGTGTAGGTGGTCGTCAGCATAGCCTACCTCTCCTTACTGCATACTGGATAATCGCATCACATTTTAGAAAATTAGAAGTTTGAAAACGTTTTTAAATGGGTGTCTCTCATATCTTGTTTCTTGTACCCTCAATGCAATGAAATCAGTAGGAAGTTGCTTTAAGTCTGTATCAATTATTTTGTGTTACTTCTTGATAAGATGTATTACAGCCTTTCTTTCAAGGTACTCAGCGTCATTCAATGGTTTCCAAAGATAAAATTCGTTTAAAATTGGAGATACCACCGATGGTGCTAATATTGCAGACCGTAATACTGAGATAATGACGGCGCAATTGGCCCAACTTCTGAATAAGTCTGCCATTTTGCTTTTGATTACACCGTTGACCGTTGTCTATAGAGGCCAATCTGATGTATTGCTATTCACCGATGTAAGTTTGTTTTTTCAAAACCTTATTCGGGCGAGTCTTTTTTTCCCCTTTTTTTGAATCTGTGTAGGTGTGGTGTCCATTTCCAACTAAACTTCCTTTTTACCTGTAAAATATCCGTAGTTGTTCTGGAGAGGTTTGCTAACAGATTATTTGCCAAACGTGTTTTAATGTCGACAGAACATTACGTTTACTATTCAGTATACGCTTTTAAAAGGTTTTCCTCAATTGATTTTGAATCATACAGCCAGTAAGTGAAAGGTGTCAAAATATTGACTCTTCAAATTGCCGCTCATGTTATCACTGGAGTTTGTCCTATACGTCTGTAAAGTGCATATATATATATATATATTTATATATATTTATGTATATATATTTATATATATATATATATAAAGATAAAGCTCCCAGTGTTAATCAGTCTCTGAGCGATGCGCTGTGCGTTCTCATAATTATCGTAGAGGTGATTTAATGCATATCTAGCCTTTACAAATGACTCGTGGCCTACTTCCCCCGAGCTAACCGTGCTTTTCATCCCTCCGAGACCGGCAAATTGGTATTGGACTTGTCGGGGAAAAGAATCACCCACTGCAATCGAAGTGGGATGCTCTCGCCTAGCTATGTGACTCCGAGGAGAATTCACTTCGCCAGCACTCAACGGCAGAGTGGAAGGAAAATCCTCAAACTTCACCCGAAGCCACAAGTAAAAAGTCAGAAGACCTTTTTGGATGATGGATGTGAGGAAACGAATCAAATTCGGGAACAGTTCATCCCGTACAGTCGCAGTAGACCAAGAATAGTCATCTCAAATTCTTTTGTTTGAGCTAGGAAGCAATCACCCTTCCAATTAGAGGCCAGTATATGCACAAGAAAGTGAAAAGTATTCACTTTATGTGGTAAATAGCAGTTCTTCGTATTTTTGTTGAGCAAACGCGAGGTGTTATTATTCTTTATTCACAAATGAGCTGACGTTTCGGCGGATTTCG